AATATACACTTCATAAAGGCAGACATTCAGGCAGCCAACAAGCATATGAAGAAATGCTTATGATCATTAGCCATCAGAGAGATGCAAATCAAAGCAACAATGAGATATCATCTCACACCAGCATTAATAGCAAAGGTAAAAAACAAAAACAAAAACAAACAACTAAAGCTGGAAAGTGTATGGAGAAACTTGGACCCTCCTACATTGCTGGTGGTAATGTAAAATGGTTGACTCATTCTGAAAAAAGGTATGGCACATCCACAGAAAGTTGGAAATAGAAATACCTTGTGACCGGGAAATCCCAAACTTGGTATATATACACAAGAAAGATGAGCCAGTACATGAGTAGATATATTCAGCATTATTCACAACAACCTCATATGTGTGTGAAAGTTGGACAGTGAATAAGGAAGACCATAGAAGAATTGATAAATTTGCGCTATGGTGTTGGAGAAGAACATTAGAAGTATCATGGACTGCCAAAAGAACAAATCAGTCTGTGTTGGAAGAAGTATAGCCAGAATGTTACCTAGGAGCAAAGATGGCCAGACTTTGTCTCTCAAACTTCAGACATATTGTCAAGAGGCACCAGCCCCTGGAGATGGATGTCATGTTTGGTAAAATGGAGGATTGGAGAGAAAAAGGAAGACCCTCGCACTGACATGGATTGGCACAGTGGCAGTAGCAATGGGCTCAAATTCTGCAACAATTGTGGATTTGGCACAGGACTGGTGGACAATGTTTTGTTATGCTGTGCCTAGAGTCGCTATGAATTGGTACCAAGCTGATGGCACCTAACAACAACAATTCACAATAGCAAAAAAATGGAGATAGCCTAAGTACCCATCAATGGAAGAATGGATAAACAAACTTTGGTACATACCCTCAATGGAATATACTATGCAAAGCTGAAGAATAAAGATGAATCTGTGAAACATCTCAGAACATGGATGAACCTGGAGAACATTATGCTGAGTGAAATTAGTCAGTCACAAAAGGACAATTACTGTATGAAATTATTATTGTAAAAACTCAAGTAAAGGTTTTCCTACTAAAAGAAGCATTTTTTGATGGATATTAGGGATGAGAGGGAAGGGATTGTTATCGACTATTCACTGACTAAAGGGTAGGGCAGACACATGTTAACTTGGGTAATGAATGGGTACAGCAATATACAAGAAGGGATAATATAATATACAAGAAGAGGGAGGTTGGCAGAAGAATAATGAAAATGGATGAAGACAAGTGGAGAAATGAATGGACTAAAAGGGATAGAATGAAATAGTGACATTGTCAGGAGGGACCAGTCACTGGAGAAGGATATCATGTTTGGTAAGGTGGAGGGTCAGAAAAAAAGACGAAGACCCCAGCAAGATGGATTGGCCAGTGGCAGCATCGACAAACTCAAGCGTGGTAGTGAGGTTCGCCCAGAATTGGGCAGTGTTTCATTCTGCTATGCATAAGGTCGCTATGGGTTGGTATCCACTTGATGGCACCTAACAACAACAACATCGTATAGTGGTTAAGAATCGAGCTGCTAACATCAGGGTGAGCAGTTCAAAACTACCAGCTGTTCTGTGGGAGAAAGATGAGGCTTTCTGCTCCCGTAAAGATTTACAACCTTGGAAACCCAGTACAGGGTCGCTATAAGTTGGAACCAACTCCATAGCACATAACCACCACAACCATATATGTATTTATGTATCCCAAAATATGTGAGTTTGAAAAAGAATATTTGTACAAAATTATTTACCTTTCCTGCAAACACTATTTTTAATGTGGGAGCTCATACAGTGGACAAAATGATGACAAGCTTCTAGATCTTATTAAACATCTTAGGGCAACGAGTTCCTGGGCCTGGAGGCTCAGGACTATAGTCTCAGGGGACACCATGGTCAATTAGAATAACAAAGTCAATATTCTACATCCTACTTTGGTGAGTAGCATGTGGGAATTTGAAAACTCATGAATGACACTCTTAGGTGCAGTTATTGGTTTCTCCAAGTGCGGAACAAAGAAGAGTGATGAGAACTGAAGAGGCTTGTAATCAGTTAGTCCAATGAACTAATGGAATATGAGGACATCAATCTCCACAACTCTGAGACCAGAAGAACTAGATGGTGCCCAACTATCACTGCCAACTGCTTTGAAAGAGATCATATTAGAGGATCCCATATAGAGTTGGAGAAAATGTTAGAAGGTCCCATATAGACTCAAAATTATTAAAATAGATAAATAAATAAATAAATTAAAAGACTGGGTGTACTGATCAGAAAGTGACTGGAGGACCTGAAACTATGGCTCTTGATCACCCTTCAGGTCTGAAAAGAAATTCACACTCAGGTCCCAATTTTCAGTCAAGCAGTAGATAGGTATATAGGAGGGGACACCACTAGTAAGGTATGTTCACCATGGAATGGTCAACCATTCAAAACCAAAAGGGCAACGTTTTCCTAAGGACAAAGTTGAGAAGGGATGGGAAGGTGGGTGGAATACAAATAGGACGCACAGCCAGGGATGGGATAACTGTTGTTGCATGGGGGCTTTGTTATCATTGAGAAGAAGCAAAGTGAATCATTTGTTGAATGTAAAAGTGATGATCTTGTCTGTAAACCTTCAATCAATTCACAATTAAAAGTTTTGTTTGTTTGTTTTATAAGACGATGGTAAGACTGTCTCTCATACTTTGGACATGTTGTCAGAATGAACCAGTCCTAGAGAAGGACATCATGCTTGCAAAGTGGAGAGTCAGAGAAAAAGAGGAAGATCCCCCCAATGAGATAGATTTTCATAGTGGAAACAACAGTGAGTATAACAGTAGTGCGGATGGTTCAGGACCAGGCAGTGTTTTCTTCTGTTGTGTACAGGTCACTGTTAGTCGGAACTGACACAATGGGACTTAGCAACAACATTTTTAGTAATATGTACTATACACAATGTTGCAGCACATAATTTCCTAATATTATTCTCAGCTGCTCAATTTAATGATTTACTGTTTAAAACACAGCCACATAGATTTGATTTTCCAAAGTAAATCAAAGACATCAGAGGCTTCAGGTGCTTCAGAGCATGTACCAAAAGGCAGATTTGGGAAGTGTTGAGATACTACCATGAAATGTATGAAAAATAAAAGAAAATAACCATGTGGACAACTCTCATTAATTTTCTGAATAGAAACACCTTCCCTAGGGTGTTGTTGTTTATTATTTCTGTAAGGTGCATTTGAATTTAGGGGGAAAAAGTCATGAGGCCTAGGTAAACAATGCTGTTTTTAAAAATATAATTGTTAGGAATTTATTGTTTTAAGTTGAAATCAAGTTGACTCTATCTTATGGCAACCTTGTAATTGAAATACTAAAGACCTTGCTGTTGTTAAGTGGCCTTGAGTCATTTCCGACTCATAGCAACCCTGTATAGAGTTTCTGAGTTGATGAATTTGAACCATGGATTTTGTGGTTCAAAGAGACCTCTGGTCAAGTGCTTATCTTACAGCACCACACCAGCAATCTACTAAACACCTTGTTGTTGTTGTTAAGTGCTGTCGAGACAGTTCTGACCCACAGCGACCCTGTATAGGGTTTCTGAAGAGCAGGAGGTGAGTTTAAACTGCCGACCTTCCAGTTCAAACCGACTTTGCAGTCCAGTGCATTAACCCACAGCACCACAACAGGACTCTCTAAACACTTTAGAGCCCTCCTTAACTTGGGATAGCTGAAGAGACTACAAAGCATGAAGGAATCCTCTGGAAATATGAGGAAAATACTGAGAAGACAGGTTGGTGCATTGGTGCAACTCATATAGGTAAAATCATGTGGACACTTCTGAGTGGGGCAGCTCAAATCCCATGAATAATTCTATGAACGTTACCTCCATCAGCATCTCTGACTTCTCATTTAGACCTATTAGCAGATTAGCTGCAAAGTAGTTGAATAAAATAATGGTGGTCCAAGTGGAAGGAATTGCCTTTTGTAGGCTTAGCTCTTTTCAGTATGTTCTGGATTCTGTCTCTCTCCAGTTCAGTGACAACCTTACATCTAGACAGCTGTCTTTATCTCGTCTTTATTGCCATTCCCACAGATTTTCAACTTGACCTTCTACTATTCATTTTCACCATCCAAATGTCTACAATTGGTCTCCCAACCTTCCGTCTCCACTAAATCTAGTCTATATTACATCTCTGAGACTATGGCAAGACAGACAATCTTAATTTCATATCAGACTTCTTTGCATTTCCAAGGTCAAGACTGCCATCAAGTGCAAGTCTAAAAAATGCAAATGAACAATCCCCCAGCTGGTCTTGATCTTCTTTGCCATCCTACATATTGTTCTACGTACCTCCTAGGATAATTTTCTTAATGACTATCTGCATTCCATTTTTGCTCTGATTAATACATCTGGCTGATCAAATGAAAACTCTCTTATGTCAAAATTCATGTTTACAGGTCCTCTGACAGCCACCAAGAACCAACTCTGTATCTGTCCCAATTCATCTTAGTTACATTCACCTCAGGCTTCTCTTTTCCACCCATGTGATCCTTTTGCCACCACATAGCTCTGATCGTCTACATGCACTTTGCACTCCATCTGAAATGCCTTCTCCCGTCCGTCGTGGCAAATATTTCCTCTCACTGTCCCATATTGCAGACATTAGTTGTTTCCATCTTTGTGTGCTGGCATGATATTTTGTATTTTCCAGTTTGTTTGCAATTGTTTCCATTCCAACCCGGGAATTTATTTCGTTTCTCCTCAGTATATTGTTAATAATTTGGTAGCAATCCATTCCTTTATTCATAATTACTGTAAACATTTCCTCTATGCAAAAAATCAATTTTAAAATCCTGCTTGATACTTAATGTAGGTCCAGGCACACATAAGTACTCAAAGTACTTATCAAGCATTACTTTCCTAACTAGTTAAACATCCCTAGTGAGTACAGAGCTATCCAGTGGACCACAAAAAACACAAGTAAACCAATAAATGACCTACTGCTAACATTTTACCTGCTCCATTTTGATCAGGAAACAATCAATAAAGTCTCGAGGATTGTTAATATCCAAAGATGCTTGGTGTTCTCTTATTTTCTCCAAAATAAAACTTCTCAGAATAACATTATTTTTAAAATAATTGTTGTGACTTCCTGGTATATAATCAAGGAGCACAGGGAAAGTATTGCAGAACTAAAGGAGAGAGAAAAAAAATCATCTCTTAAATAAAAAAAAGTTACTGTAGATATGCATACCATTTGCCAGTTGAGGGTTAGAAACTATCTCCATCTCATGAATGAAAAATGATTTCCACATGGAGGAGCTTCTTGTCCATATAAAGTAATTTTGTATACTTACAGAAATATTTGAGAGAGAAAACTGAACACATGATCAAAGATGATAATCACTTCCAATATTTATTCTTTAGTTCCATAGTATAAGTGTACCAGTACTTTTGTATTTTATATACGTTCATTTCTACAAGCTTGAAATACAAGATGGCATAGATTAGAGGTTGATATTTCGTAAATGCGGTCCAAAAATATTAAGGACGTTTGGGCAATCTTATATAAAGCATAAAGCTAGTCGTGCCTGCTTCCACCTCTACCAAGAAATCTCAGAAATAGAATCAGGATTTTAGACTTGGCATGGGTTAAAAGATACCATAAAGTCCTCATGTGATGCTGTAGTATATGCACTAGCTACAAGTTTGGCAGTTCAAACCTACCAACCACTCCTTGGAAATCCTATACAGAGTCATGAACCAACTCAATCCTATACAGAGTCATACAGAACCAACTCAACAGCACTTAACAATAACAAAGGATGCCATGAAATTCAATGCAGTATTTTGTGGATAAAGTGTCTGTACACCAGAATAGCTAAGTGACGTATCTAAGGTTACACAACGTCATTTTGGAGAGTTCCGGACATGGAAGTTCAGCACAGGGTAAAATTGTGTTGATTGTGGTTCATACACTGTGAATCCCAACCGATATTTCATCTGGGATCCCAACTGAACCATCAACCAGCTTATCTAGTCGATGTTTCCTAGTGCCCTGTAATAATGTTGTTGTATGGCTCTGTATAGGATTGTCAAGTTGTCATGTCGTGAAGTCAATTTAGACTCCTAGCCACCTTGTGTACATTTTCCAAGGAGCATCTGGTGGGTCTGAACAGCCAACCTTGCAGTTAGCAGTCCAGTGCTTATCCTATAGCATGACACCAGTAATAGGTATAGCCCTAAATATTCACCTTTCTACCCTCCTTGATATATCAGACTAGAATATTTCTGACAAGTTATTTGATGAAGAAATCATTTTGTATTGATGGTGACAAGCCTCACAGGTAATGGAAGCCTTCCAGCAAGGGCACTAGATTTCCACTAGGTTCTAAAAGTATCCTCCTCTCCCCCCCCACCCTCCCACCCCCCGTTTCTGCTAAATTTGCTCCAAAATCCCTTTTATTGTTTTAGAATCACAAAGAAGAAAGGAGTATAATATACTCTTGCTTGTCATTTAAATACCTACAACAAATGGCGCTGTGGGCTAATGCGTCAGACTGCAAAGTCATTTGAACTGCAAGGTCGGTGGTTCAAGTTCACGAGCTTCTCCTTGGAAACCCTATACACAGTCGCTATGGATTGGAATCGACTCGATGGCACTTAACAACAACAACAACAACAACAAATAAGAGGAAGCAAATGATAGCACATCCCCCATCCCCCCAATACAATTTCCTGGACCCATCTCCCCAGCCCCCACGGGACCCAAAACAATTTTCAATATTAAAGATTAAATGATCTATACTATACAGTTAGGTTGTTGTTGTTAAGTGCTGTCGAGTCGGCTCCCACCCATAGCGACCCTGTATAAGGTTTCCAAGGAGCAGCTGGTGAGCTTGAATCGCCGACCTTGCAGTTCAAACGGCTTTGCAGTCTGGCGCATTAACCCACAGCGCCACACCAGGACTCCTACAGGTATAGTAATGAAAATAGCCGGATACTCAGTAGAAGTAATATTGTTATATACACAACATATGGGCATACTTTTGACCAGTCACCAAAGTACTTTATTGAAACGGGGGAGTCAATAAATTTGAAGTTAAACTGATATTCCGAACATTTGCTTTCTTCTGAGAAAAATAAATGACCTAGCCATATTTCTCAGACGCTCACTCCATGATGCCCTGAACAAGACTTTTGTGTTCAGACATTCATCACCTCACTGCTTGGGCCATGCAGAATTTTTCACTTGTCAGAGAAAGAAATAGAAATGATTTATCCGGATGAAAGGTTCTTGGCCTTACCTGGACCCATGGGGAGCTTACAATTCTCGTATTTTCATCGAATATTTCCATCAAGTGAAGAAAATCCGGATCTGAATATTCAAAACGATTCTTGAAAACTATGGAGCAGATCACGTTGCAGGTAGCACATTTCAGGATGAAGTTTGGATCATAGGGTGAGGCTAAAGAATTGGAAGCATTAACAAATACTACTAAAATACCCTGTGAAACTTTGTCATTGAAATAGTGTTAGAGACTTTAAAGCAATTGTTGTTGTTGTTGTTATGTGCCGTGGAGGTTGGTTCCGACTCATAACGACCCTTTACAGGGTTTCCGAGGCTGTAAATCTTTACGGGAGCAGAACACCTCATCTTTCTCCCGCAGGACAGCTGGTAGTTTCGAACGGCTGACCCTGAGGTTTGCAGCCCGATTCGTAACCACTACGCTACCAGAGCTCCTTACCTAGGAACTCCTTGTTGTTAAGTGCCGTTGAGTCGATTCCGACCCATAGCAACCCTGCACAGGGTTTCCGAGGCTGTAAATCTTTACGGGAGCAGAAAGCCTCATCTTTCTTCCGCAGAACAGCTGGTAGTTTCGAACTGCTGACCTTGTGGTTCACAGCCCGATTCATAACCACTACACTACCAGAGAAACTCCTTAATCAGCAAAATATTCTATAATATCTAAAATCAACATGTCCTGTTTCTCTTCTTGCTTCAACCTCTTTCAGGAAAAGTCAAAACTTAAAATTGACCATCATCTAAATTGACCATTCCATCCTAGCTAGTTTAATAATAGTTTTTCAATACTCCATTCACATTTTCTGTTCATATTTACTACATTTGAAAATAATAATGCTTGCTATGTTTCAGAAGAAAAGAATTAAAGCGATCACTCTTAGAAATCTCTAATAATTCATGTTTCGAGGGCAGAATCACATTTATTTGCAAAGCCTGTAGACAAATAAGTACTGATAAAGGAAAGGAGAGAAGAGTGAGGGCCCTCAGAACTTTTTTAATGTAATGAATAGTTGGGAAACTACATGTAGAACTAATAAAGGAAACATTAAAGTGTGTCAGCTATTTAAGGGATCAATATACAAAGGAAAAAGAAAAACAAAAAAATCCTTCCATATTGTATGAATAGGAAAAAAACCTGACAAACAGAAATTATAAGAAGGTTTTCACTTAAATTAAACATAAAATGAGAATTGTTCATTTTAAAGTTGACCCATACATAAAACATTCCATTGCCATCAAGTTGATTCCAACTCATAGCGACCCTATATAGAGTTTCCCCTACTAGAAATCTTTATGGGAGGAGTCTCATCTCTCTTCTGCAGAGCACCTGGTGATTTTGAACTACTGACCTTGAAGTTAGCAGCCCAATGCCTAAGACACAGCACCACCAGATCTCCCACATCATACATGGTGGTGGTATTTATGTGCTCTTGAGTGATTCTGACACATAAAAGCCCTGTGAGTTGTTTCCACATAGGTAAATCTTTGTGGGCACAGAAAGCCTCATCTTTCTCTCAAGGAGTGGTTGGTGGACTCATACTGCTATCCTTGCCGCCCAGCTCATACCCCACTATGCAACCAGAGCTCCTGAATCATACATAGGGCAAACAAAAGTTTATTTTAAGAAATGTGTTATCCCTTTAATTCTTCCTTTCAGTTCTGGAGGATTCCTGGTGGCACAGCGGGCTAAGCTTTGACTGCTAACTGAAAGGGTGCTGGTTCAAAGTCCTCTGCTGCTCTGTGGGGAAAAAGACAAGGCCCTTTGCTTCCGTGAAGATTTATGCCTGGAAACCCTAAGGAGCAGTTCTACTCTATCCAATCCGGTCACTGTAAGTAGGAATCCACTTGCTGGCAGTAGGTTTGGATTGGGTTTCAGTTATGGGGGAGAAAGTCTTTCTTCCTGGAGGAAGTAACATCCAACATCTACAACCAACCCCCAGACTGAATTTATGTGAGCCAGGCATGCCCTCTTGTGCACTTGAAGTATATTGCCATATATAACCATCTACAGGATAGCTATGATATTTTTTAATGAGTGAATTTAAAAACGTGACCATTGTTTAAGTCAATGCCATAATGTTACAGAGAAAAAGTTGAAAGCAGAGGAAATATTTTATTCTTTTCAGTTGGGTATTTGTAAAATGAAACTTTAAACGTGCCCCCAAATAAAAAATGTTGTGAAGGAATGGCACAGAGCATTGGCTACTAAGAAGTTTTGGGGCCTAAAGTCTCCTATGTCATCTGAAACCCAAATATTGGAGATACCTCAGCTTTCAGGAAATCTGTTTTTTCTTAGCTTGGTGTTGTGGGGTATTTGGAAATCATTTGAGATTTATTTGTATGTGTGTGTTGTGTGGTTCGAAGCTAAAATACGTATCAGGTTTTCCTCTCATTTGAAAGAAGGAATTAAAATTCCGGTAATTTGGAATCCAAGCTGAAAACCACTGTCTTTATTGTAAATACTAACTAGGTCAGGAGAGCAGGCAATCTACTCTCTGCCATGGAGTCATTTCAGACTCATTGTTGTTAAGTGCTGTGAGTTGGCTCCAAATCACAGTGACCCTGTAGAGGGTTTCCAAGAAGTAAGTAATGGATTTGAACCACTGGCCTGGTGGTTAACAGTCCAGTGCTTATCCTACAGCACCATACCAGTGACTCTATAAAGGATTTCCAAGGATGTAAATCTTTTCGAGAGCAGAAAACCTCATCTTTCTCCTGAGAGCAGCTGGTGGGTTTCAATTGCTGACCTTCTGTTAGCAGTTAGCAGTCCAGTGCTTATCCTACAGTACCACCAGTGCTCCTTAGTAGAGCTGGCAATGAGAGTCCAATAATTAACATAAATGTTTCAATGCCAAATTAAACTGTGTTGGGGAAAAGATAAACAGAGCCAAGTTACCATGAGAGAAGAGACAGGAAAGTGTTATTAATAATTGCTTAAATACAGTTAAATAAATAACTTTATAAACTGGCATTTTATGTTTTTTGCAGAATTGTACCATACCTTAGATTTTCTTAAAATAAAATAAATGAGTAGAGTTAGGAATGAGTGACATTAAGTAATTCATATGTTGTTGTTAAGTACTGTGGAGTCAGTTCCAACTCATAGTGACCCTAAACAGGGTTTTCGAGGCTGCAGATCTTTATGGGAGCAGAACACCTCATCTTTCTCCCATGGAACAGCTGGTAGTTTCGAACTGCCAACCTTGAGGTTAGCAGCCCGATTCATAACCACTACGCTACCAGAACTCCTTAAGTAATTCATATAAAAAGTTTAAAAACAATTGACAGGGAATGGCAATTGGGATTTGCACTAAAGAGCACAGCGGCTCTGTAGGATAAGCACTGGACTGCAAACCACAAGGAGTTTGCAGCCCACCAGAGGCTCCACAGGAGAAAGATAAGGCTTTTTGCTCCCACAGAGATTTACAGCCCAATAAACATAGTCACTGTGAGTCAGAGGTGACTCAATGCACTTAATAGTTGTTGAGGTTTGCACTAAGAAATGCTCTGGAGTAGATTCTGACTCATGTTGTTGTTAAGTGCCATCGAGTTTGTCCTGACCCATAGCGACCCTGTTATAGGATTTCCGAGGAGCAGCTAGTGAGCTTGAACTGCCCACCTTGCAGTTCACATGGCTTTGCAGTCTGGCGCATTAATTCACAGCACGACATCTGGGCTCCTAGGGTCCGAGCAAACAAGGTGAAACAGTTCCATAGGGCGTCTAAGGCTGCAAATCTTTGCAGAAGCAGACTGCCACCTCTTTCTCCCACAGAGTGGATAAAACGTTTGAACTGCTGACCCTTTAGTTAGCAAGCAATGAAAACCATTGTTGTTGTTAGGTTCCATTTGAGTCAGTACCGACTCATAGCGACCCTATGCACAGTGGAACAAAACACTGCCCAATCCTAGGCCAGCCTCTCTGCTGTTGCCACACTTGAGTCCATCGATGCTGCCACCTGATCAATCCATCTCCTTGGGGGTATTCCTCTTTTTCTCTGACTCTCCACCTTACCAAACATGATTTTCTCTCCAGTGACTGGTCCCTCCTGACAACATGTCCGAAGATCGAGAGACAAAGTTTGGCCATCTTGGCCTCCAAGGAGCACTCTGGCTGCACTTCTTCCAAAACAGATCTATTGGTTCTTTTGGTAGCCCATGGTACTTACAATATTCTCTTCCAAAATCACAACTCAGAAGTATCAATTCTTCTGTGATCTTCCTTATTCACTCTACAGCTTTCTCATGCTATTGAGTTTATTGAAAATACCATGGCTTGGGTCAGGC